ATCAACAGTTAATGCTGGAAATTTGATATTGGAATATTGTTCGACAGGTCTGATGGTGGCCGATGTTATGACAAAGCCAGCAACAAAGGGGAAGTTATTGAAGTTTGAGAAATATATGTTTGGAGTGTAAACAAATAGTAAAGAAAAACTGTTTCTTTTGGAATGCATGTAAAGCTGACAACGTGAGTGCAAGTGGGGGTGTTGAGCTAGTTAATAGGTATGCCCTCATTGTCATCTGTTGTGATTTTATTTTGAAAGGATGCTTCCTGTTATGCTGCAGAGTGCACGCGAGAGTTCAATAAACAAAGTCACCTTTTGGTGTGATGTTCCGGTGAAAGCCGATGCCCCACGTGTGATTATTCCTCCGACTAAATAATAAGTATCTTCAATATTCATGCAGATTCTGCTGGAAGACCCGTCTCTGCTAACATTAGTCTAGCTGCACAGATGAGTGATGTCCAAACAAACAAAAAGCAGAAGCAAAAAAGAGGGTTCAAAAACAATGAAAAAATATGCACTCCACCACTGCCTGTGCTTTTCATGCTGTACTTTTAGATCTGTGTTGATCTTTCTCAGCTTCTCCGGTGCCCGGTGAACGCCGATGTCACCCCCTTCCTTATTCCGGCCCACTTATCAATCAATCAGCATTCGACCTACATATGGGTCATCCGTGTCCAGCCTCGTGCAGCTAACATTTAGAATTGCCCTGTTTTCCAGAACACCGGCAGTGTTTGCCGTTTGTGAATCCCCTTCTACGTTTGCTGATCAAACGGAAACCGCTATGCAGACGGAAAAACTACAGACACCTTAAATGTAGGCGTTTAGCCATCATTTCCGCGTTCGGTGAGATTTCTCGAAGCATGCAAACCGACTTTGTCTTATCAGGAGAACTTTTCTTTATTCCAGAATAATCCTTTCACATGATAACATCATTCTGTGCTCACCTGTTTTTGTTGGGCATTAAATCGGAGCACGAAGTAAAGCGTGGATGGAAAGTGTATTCAACACGGGAAACCCACGTAGGTTGCGTTGTTCATTGATTTCCATCCGCTTGTTTGTGAAAAGCCGTCTTCTACGCTTTTGTCTTTATATACAGATTTTACGCAGATAAACTCCAAAGAGTTCCTATGATGGTGTGGTTGCAGACAGGTGAACTCCCAGTGCAGAGTTTACCTGAAGTCACCCCGAGTCTGAGCACCGCCCGCGTCAATCCAGTCTCTTCCGCTTATTGGCAATGAACTCAGTCGGCAGGAAATCGTCTTGAAATTATATTTATAACAAATTTCTAACAATTGATATTTTTCACTCCAAACACTTCCAACTGTTCGCTTGTGGGGATTTTTAATTTTCCAAACACTACAATTAGAAAAGTATCCTAAATGTATGTATTTAATGTTTTAATTAACTTTTTAAAAATGAAATATATAAACCCGTACTAAATATTTGTATGGGGAACCTAAACAAATACTATATGTCAAAAAATATTCTGCTATTTCTCAATTCTTTCCTAGAAGGTTTTGATGAAACTGATCATTCGTGTAGAGGTATCGAAAACGGTTTCTTACTGCCATTGTTTAAATTCACAGTATATATACCTTTAGGGAATAATATGGGCATCTGATCTCTTCTTCAGGTCAAATAAGGCCAAACCTTTATAAAATGTTTTTATTTTTAAAATTGTGCTTAAAATGTGGTTGCCTCTGTTTGTATGCTGTACGGGGATTCTAAAGATCACAAACATGTCACATTTGACTGGGTAGTTATTTTGAAATATACTGTAGTATAATTTTATGTAATAAATGTAAATATGTAATAAAGTAAAGCTCAAAATCCGTACCTATCCACGACTTACTTCTATGTAATGTTTGTGTGATCAAAGTAGACGTCAGGCCGCCCTTATCTGATTTTTACTGCATGACTAATTTCTTAAAGTGCATTTAAAGAGAACAAAGAAATCAAAATGAATATACAACGTAAATGTTGCCCATGGTGTGCACTGCCTTGATAGTTGAAGAAAGCCTGGTTTTCTGACCTACCTGGACATGCAAACTCACTGCAAAATATGACACTCGTTTCTGAGGTTGGAAAAATTCCCCAGGCCCCAAATGATATCTGCACAGTGCTTTGACACAAAACAGCATTCTGTCAATGTGAGAGTGAAATGCTTTTCTTTACATGCAAAACAATTTCTTTATCTTTAACAAAAAATGGTGTCTTTTATCTGCCTGCAAAAATGTATAATGTAAAATGACCATCATGGCCCAGATGAGATGAGACTACACAGTGAGCAGAGCAAAGCTGTACAAGCATCATCAAGCCCAACACTTCAGACCTTGAATGCAGACAGCAGAGGTTCAAACAGCACACCAGTGAGGAATTTCTAAGCCTCATGAAAAAAGTGTTTTCAAAGCATTTTACCAGTTGAGCTGCGGAAATACTGTTATTATTTCATAAGGGAGAAAGGATGTATTACATGAAGCATTTCATAAAGGATAAATAAAGTAAAAAGAGAAACGTAGCTGAGACTGAATGCCTGTTGTTGGTGTCAGACGAGGGCGTGTTATTCTGGTATCATATTTCTGCAGTGTTTTCATGTTATTTGCATAACATGTGCCTTTTGAGGAAGTCATGTGTCATCTAACAAGGAAATAACACGTTGTCAAAAGCATCCTGACAGATTACTCCCTGGGCAGGTATGGCTGCTGTCATAAACTTAATAAAATGCAATTACAATTCTTCACAGCACCCTTGATAAAATACTCAAAAATTCTAAATTTGAATCCTACCATATTGTTTTTTGTTGGTGTTCTGTTTTTTGTTTTTACTTTTATGGTATTTTTATTCACATTTTTCATTTTTGGGACCTCAAAATGGATGTCAGCATGCCATCTTGAAGAATGTGTCCATTCCTAAAATGCATCTGGAGTTGAGAGAGGGCTCCTTTATTGAAGCAAATAAACAAATAAAATGACACACAGCTTGTCCCTTTAATGTGAACTGAAATAAAAAGAAACATATAAGTCATCATGAATACTCCTGCTTAGCAGTCATCACATGAAAAACACAACAATAATACCTAAAATGCATGCCATGGAAGAGTTTGGGTCTTGAGGTTAAGATGTGCAGTGAACCTTGGCTGTTTTGAGTCTTTGCTGTGTCTTATTTCTGGTGGGAGAGATAAGAACACAACGGGAACATAACAGATGTATACAATGAGAGATGAATACAATTGAAATAAAGAAATAGTCTAAAAGAATTGAAATTGCTTTGCAGATTAAGACAATCTGAGGCAATATAGAGAAAATATGTATTCTGTAACTAGTATCTTTCTGTATGTCAGAAACTGTCCTCTAAGGGCTTTTAAGGATCCCAGATTTGCCAGTGATAGAAAACAAAACAGGACAGTGCTCTACTGTGGTATTATCATAGACTCTAGTATGTGAATGACGTTTCTCACAACATTCAAGAGAACACTGAAAGGTTGAGGTTTTGGAAAAACATATTCATTACATTCAAATGAATAAGAACAGTCCATTTAATTAAATGTACTTTAATATGTAAAGTAAACCTTATAATCTTTTAAAATATTTACACCCTTCATTAACAGTCAATTTAAAGTTTAACCCCAGCTGTATTATTTGTAAACGCATTTAAGTAACCTCACATAATAATCACACATGTAAAAGTGCACCCTGATGAGACCTGGTAAACCTATAAAACCTTCAAGCAATTGTTCACCTCCACCTTTCCAAACAAGTAACTCTAAATCACATTTAAAAAAATAAATAACTTCGGTAGTTTATAACAATCTATAAATACATTAAAACTCTAGCATAAAGCTAAGGTGTTAAGGACAAGGTGGTCCAGGCTTTTTCAGGTCTGTCCAATAATCCAGCAGCTGTTTAGAAGAACCAAGAATGTATGTAATGACCTTAGAAAATTCACAGCGATTATATGCATAGTTATAGGCCTTGAACTGGGAGGGTATTGGTGGTGCTGTGAGGGCAAGTCCAAGCTTTTTCATGCACATCCCAATATAAGCATCCTCAATGTTAAAGGGTTTGACTGACTTTGACATTTCCACATATTTCTCTGGAAGATCATTAGAAAAGACATATCCCATACCCAGTGTGTAGGTCGGGTATTCAGACTCTGGATACAATTCCTCAGGCACATACCACTTGGAGTTCTTGGAACGAACGACTGGTCTGTTCCACATAAGCATCCCTGTCAGGTAGTTTGTCTTGGGGATGCCCGGCTGTTTTAGCATGATTACTAGATTGTCAACATTCAGAAACATGTCAGAGTCAATCTTCATGGCATAGGCTGCTGCAGGGCAGTGTGTACTTAGCCAGTCCATGATCACCATGGTTTTGATTGTCAAGTTTAGATAACTGTCTATGAAGTCACTCTGGATCAGGTCATGGTGCTGCAAATTTTCCTGTTTGAGCTTCTCAACATCATCTTCTCTAGAGACACCCAACATAAATAAAGTGAGTACCACCTCACCCTGAACTATGTTTTCTTTGCCCCATGTCTGGCGGATCGCGTCCCGAGCTGCCACATTTTTTGGTTCCACTGGAACCATGAGGACCAGGAATGGGATCTTGTTCTTGCAAACCTCTGTGTTATCCATAAGAAAATGGTAGTTGCGTGGATAGGCTTGGTGGTACTGGAGGGTCGAAGTTTCAGTGGTTTTGTTTAACATAACTTTGTGTTTGGGGTGAATGCGATAAGCAGGTGCATTAACCCTACTGTTCTGGTTTAAAAACCACTGGTATTGTTCCTGCAGTGGGAAGCTCTGCCATAGTGACAGCGAGCGGCTGGACAGGGTGTAACAGAAGCCTAAGGCCAAAACACAAAATAGAAGCAGGAGCTGAAACCAGGAATGAAATAAGATCTTCTTCTGTGGAAAGATGCTCTGGACAAGTTCCCTAAAAAGACAAAAAAAAATAAAAGTGGTGAGTTATATCACCTTTCTTTTCCATTGTTAACAAAGTTCACAGCTTCACAACATTTGAGTTCGAGCTGAAAATCTCTAAGCTCACTGATACTGAAGATTTATGCTTCAGTGGGAAATCTGCACCATATCAACACTCCTCTGAAACCCTGTGCTATAACCTATGGAACAACTTGATGTGCACCTCCTTAATGATTTAAGTACAAGCCAGGTGAACACAGCCCACAGGTATTGTGATCGCCTCTTTAGCACTGCCAATTTCTGTTGTATGTTTCCAGCTACTTTTTTGAATTTATCAGTGAAAGATTAACAATCATTACCTTAGTATAGGGAACAATATTTATAGCACAAATATAAGGACTCACAAATGGCAACAAATTCCTGGAGGGAGATAATACAGTCATGATAACACTTGAAAAACAGGCCATTTCTTTGTTTCATCAGAAGTCACTTTGACCTTTGTTGGAAAATGATTGTTTGCGCAGGTTTTATCAAAGGGTCTATAAAGATTTCCCACATTTTTTCTTTCTTGTAACGATAGCACTGAAACTGAGTCACAGATGCCTGTTTAGATCATTTTCTGTCACCAATGCCTTGTGTGAAACTTCTTCTGAGGTTTCTCTCTGAGCTATTGAACTTGTTATTACCTGTAGGACTTCATTTTTTTTTTTATTAAACGTGTGTTGTGAATTTTGCATTTGAGTTCTCATCTCTGCACTCCACACTTTGTGACATCTAATAGTGACCATAGGTGGGAAGTTACAAGTACAAATACCTACGTTATTCTACTTTAGTAGAAATTTTAGGATTCTGTACTTTATTTGAGTATTTTAATTTCTGACAACTTTTTGCTTTACTCTCTACATTTTTACATACATATTTATGCTTTCCACTTCTTATATTTTCTAACAGACTTGTTACTTCGGGAATTTAAGTGGGGGAAAGGAGTGTAGGTCTAAGTATGTTGTGTTTGTGATACATCAGAATCTAGTGCTACAGAAGGGGGGAAGCATGAAAGGAGTGGCATTTTTTAAGTGTTAGGTAATTTCAAATGTAATGTTTCTATCAGCTAAACAAACATCAACAATCACACAAACTGTGTGTCTGCATTTTGTCACACAGTGTGTTGCCAGGTAAAGGTCCAGCTGCTGTATTTCCAGGGAAAGAAAAGAGAGAGCACTAACTTCACTCAAAGATGGAGAAAAACAGAAAGAACAGGAGAGGAAGATGAGAGGTTATATTTAAAGGTAAAGGCAAATTAACTGCAAATTTAAAGCTTACATATGATGTCATCATTATCAATCACATTGTTAAATTATGTATATTATCACATGTTTTATATATAAAGCTAAGCTGTGCTAACTCCTGTTAGCTGTGATTCAAATGTTGCATGTTAGTGGGTAGTTTTGTCTAAAATATATAGCTTAATTTGCATTGGTGTGGATTCACAGTAAAGCACTGTGTTGGATTGGTGCACAGTGCAGCATAGGGATGGGTATCGTTTAGGTTTTATCCAATACCAGTACCACCGGTACTACCGGTACTTTTGAAACGGTGCCGGTGCTTAAACGGTGCTCGAACCGGTGCTTAAAGAATCAAGAACACAAACTTTGTCCAAAACCTCTCATGTTCAGCTGTTTTTTGTAAAAAGATAAACAATGTTAGCCTTTTCTGCAGCTATAGGGGATATATGGTATCACTCTTGGCCGGAAGCAGTGCTTAAACAATGGAAAAAACACCAACTTTGTCCAAAAACCTCTCATGTTTAGCTAAACTATGTTTAGTTTCCCACATTTTCTTTGGTCATTTTAAACTTATTGGCCAGGGTGAAGGGAGTATCTGCCATCAAACAAGAAGACAGCCGCATGTAGCTATGATGGTGTTTGCTAGTTCACCTTACGTGCATTAATTTAATAACGTGGTTAGCGTACTCAACGTAAATTACACACGAACAACATTAAGCTACTGAACCAGAGAAGAACGGCTGCTGCTGCCATCATCATCCGTCATCATTTCTGCTACACTGGCAGGGCTAGGGGACAGGACTCTCCTCTTCGGGTTCATGTTGCTAACTTCGGGTCCGATAACAGGCACCACACCCGCAATAGATGTGCTCGGTGTAAGGTCCTGCAACAAGCTATCAAATATGGTGCATTTCTCGGCTTTTAAAAAAATGCTATGCGTCACCAGGTGTTTCATCAGATTCGAGGTGTTACCTCCTTTGCACAGTATCAGCATAATAGCACTTGCTGCAGGCTGCTGAGTTTGCATCTTTTGCTGTGAAGTACAGCCAGACTTTTGACCGCTTCACCTTCGGCATTTTTAATCTGTAGCTCTGCTCTAAAAGAACGTACGTACCTGGGTCCGCCTACTACGCTTGCAAAGGTAAAATGATTGGCTAGAATCCAAAGTGTGTGACATCTCAGGGAAAAAAAGCCCCGAAATAAAGCACCGAAATGTGCGCTGCTTTTCGGTCTGGTTACTACCGTTTATGTCAGAACCGGTGCCGGTACCCATCCCTAGTGCAGCAGAGCTGAATTAGCATTTAATCTGACTGGAGTATTTTTAAACCTAGGTATCTCTGTTTCTACTTAAGTAAAGAAAGTCTGTGCTTTTGCTACTTCTGAGGTTGACGCAGTTTCCAAATTACTTCAGAAATGATTTCTAGTATTGTTATAGTAGTGTTAAGGGTGATCTGGAGGAAGGAATCAAAAGGTATTTTTCTGCCTCCTCAACATTTTTATTTAATGAATGCTGCGTGACAATGGATGCCATCTAGAAACTGGATTCAAACGTGCACAGCAAATCCAGCATGTCCAAATCAACACTGTCAGATTTGATTTCAACTCTTTTAAAGTGTCTATATGGGTCTCTATATGGGAGTTAATTTAACTCTTGTTGGAGAGTTGGTATGTTAACTCTGATTTAGTGTTAAGTACCAAATCTGTCTGGAGTTGATAATTTAACACTTATTAATGCTTACTAGGTGTTAAGAGTTTATATACTAACTCTCAGAGTATTCTAGTTTAACTACATAAGAGATCTTCTAATTAATTCTTAAAAGTTTGAATTTTACTCTTCTGAACTTCTAGAAATTCCTTTGGAAATAAACATGTATTACAAAGAGGCAATGGTTTTTGAAAAACATTTATTTTGAACTGTGCACTACAATTTCAAAACATTTTCTGAAACATGTAACAATATGGAGCAATGTACATGTTCTCATTTTCATTAGAATATTGTTTATCAAACGCTCTGACATAGATAAATGCAACAGCATGCTCATTGTTCTTTTCTTCAATACAAGATTTAATAAAAAATTAGTTGTGCACTAATTAATTGCACAAATAATCTGGTAATCAATTGCAGCACTGTAAAAAAAAAGAAAAAGAAAAAAAAAGAATCATTTTTGAGCTATAACTTATAACTATAAGATTCCAGATACGAATCCAATGCCCATATTTAAAGGCAATATTCTACCCGAACATGTTTGTTGAAATGGTGCTTCTCAAACAACTGAAGAACATAGACAACAGTTAACGGTGAACTAAATTTAAAAACTCAATCTTTTTCATTTTTACCTAAATTGTGTGTACAAAACTCTGGAGGGATCTAAACGTACAACCCAGTCAAGACGCCTGCTGCTGCTGTTTGCTCGTTTTTTTTTGTGGGAGATTGTTTTCAGGCTTGAAGTAGCACCATTATACCAACATTTCACAATCTAGACATTGTTTTAGGTGTATTTAAGTTAACCAAAAACTTGACTGAAAATTCATATGCAAGCTTTTTTTTCAAGGCTGTACTATTTGCCCGCAGACAATATATTTCAGGTAGCTAAAACAGATTATTATGCTATCACCGAGCAACGTGGCTAATGCCTTTCACACAGCTTTGTCTCAACTCCAAAAAGCCACAGAAGTAAAAGCTAATAATAATAATTGAAACAGTCTCACAAAAAAATGACTTACCAAGCATGGCAAACAACTCAGAAATATGTAGAACAAAATGTTCTGAAATGGCTTCACTTCAGCTTCGATTGGAGCCTATGGTGCTGGGGGCGGAGTCTGTGAATTTACTCTATTAGTGTCATAGCCCCTCTAGGAGTTCGGAGTTAAGAGGTCAAGAGTTAATGTTTCCATTGTAACACCTCCAGATTTGACATAGAAACACTCATTTTTAACGCTCGATTTTAACTACTATCATTTTACACCTCAGAGTTACATTAAAAGAATGTGACTCTACTTAGAGTAAAATTAACTCTACTTTTGCAAGAAGACTACTA